CCCTGGAGTGGCCTTCTGCTCTGAACACTCAGGCAAGGCTTGTGCAGCTTTCTGGCTGAAGCTTTGAAAAGCGGTGTGCTCCCAGGAGCCTGGGAGCAGCTGCTTCTACAGTGTCCTGGGTTGTGAGCATCCCTCCTTCATCCACCCTACAGGCAGTCCAAAGAGCCTTCAGGGACTTCCCTGCTTGCTTTCTCGCCATCACACATAAAGACAACTTGCAGTCTCTCTCCCACATTGATTCTTACTTCAAGACAACTTAATTCTCATATTTTAGCTATCTAGTAGAAAGCCTTCCCAGCTGACATCTTATACATGGTGTTATTTTGCAATTAAAAACCATACACATACACTGTTTAATAAAACTTTTGTTATCAAGTTTTATTATTTCAACAAGTGTTGCTGTCAGCTAATAAACCCTAGAGTGGCCATTGTGGAGTATTCCAATAATTGGATTTTAATTAAGAAATTCACTTAGTCCTACACTATTTTTGAAATCTAATTATGTCTTCAGGAAACTCACCCAAGTTGTGGTATTTTCTGGACAATGTACAGACTCCTTCCATTACTTTAAGTTCTTTTTTAATTTTTTTTCTTTTCCTATGAGTATTATTAAAACTCTTCAATTTCCTATATTGCCACTGCAGAAAATTGTCAAGACCTAATGGATTAAATAAATGCAGAATGCAAATACAAATTTCTATAATACACATTATGTTAGAAAATATGGTCCTTGTGCAAAGATGGTTAGAAAGCTTTTTTACTTATTATATTCATGGTCTTGAGATTTTTTACCCCCTTTGGATTTGAAGGCAATATTAATGAGAAAATCCTGCAGATAAACTTGGCTGTAGATTTTATTCATGTAGACAATAATTTATGTCTCACCTCATCTCAAGTATTTTGGGAAAAATCCCGAGTATATATGTGCATGCTGAGTGTCACCTGGATTAAGTAGTGAAGCATGTAGGCTTGCTCGTATTTGTATCACAGAAGCACTGAGTGATCCAGACACTGCTGTCTGTACATTACTTTTTAGTCCTCTTTGATGCTGAATGTCACATCTCACTCCAGCATTGTGTGAGTCTTCATGACACAGCAACAGGAGAAATAATCAAGAACACCATGAATTCAAGGCATTTCTCTTGAAGTGGTTGGAGTATTCCTGTATTTTTCCATATGGAATACAGAGTAACACCACTTCATGGTATGTCTTTGACTGTAAGTAGGCAGAAATCAATGTAATAAAAATAAAAGTCTCTCGGAAATATTTTTATATTTAGAAATATGAATGGTACATACAGTCATATTCTGACCTTGAAAGAATGAAATAAAGTGTGACACGGGTCTCTGTTTGTAGTATTTATACTAACCATAAAAATACTCTGTTCAAACATGAAGATTTCCTTGAAACAAAAGAAATCTATTTAAAATGTGAAGAGGGGAAGGAATAAGAAGAGAGGTCTGATGAATTAATGGTTGGCAATATGAAGAACATTTCAGTAAGATTATTTACATGAGTGATATAGGCATCTGGCCTGTACACTGTATAGTATAAATATAGAAAAGCTGTGGAGGCCATAATCTGCCATTGTAGTGCATACGTAACTCCAGTTGAATTCAATAGTACTTCAACATGCATATAGATGAGATGATATTTGCTTATAGCACAGACTGATTTTTTATTTCAAGACAGACATTGTTAACATTTTAATATATCCTTTACAGAGATGGGGAAAAACTTCCACTGACTTTAACAAAGACAAAATTTCAAACCAAGGCATTGGCTGTAACCCTGAAACACCAAGAAAATATCTGGTTAAGAGTAGACTGAAAAATGGTGTTTAAGCTGCATCGTTTTTTCATCTTCTTAGACTTGCTTCAGCCCTTAGTACTCTGGACTGCCTTTGCCATCTTTGCTTTATTTTATTTTTTTACGAGCAGTATTTCCAAAATAAGAAACATGGCCTATATGAATAGTATTGCATGGAATTCACTTCTGTTTAGTATTTTTGTTTCATACATAACTGTCCATGTTTAGGCGAGTTAGCTACATTGTGTTGTAAGTCTAGCACAGTCATTTGATATTTGTCATTACAGCATTGTATTTTCTTCTTGTGCCTCGAGCAATTAGACCATGTGCCCATCTTCCATTGGAACCTGTGGCAATTATTAATCACTTGCCATTGTCTCTGTTTTTTCTGCTTGTGACCCTTTCAGTTCTGCAAGCCAGGAAACTATCTTTGCAGTAACAGGGAAGAAGTCTAAAGGTTAGAATGTATTTCAAAGCTTTAAAAATAGTCCAATTGCATTTTAAAGTCTAATTGGTCTTTTTAAAAGCCCATTAGTAAATTGTGATTCTTTAAAACCCCACAAGCTGACAGTACCTTGCTGGGGACCTTATTGCTAAGATTACAAGCAGCATCCAAATGGTTGAAATTAAAATTCACTTTAAAAATCTAATATTCCACTTAAGCTGCTGTACCAACATTATAGAACCAGATAAAAGTCAAAAGACTGTGTCCAGAAATCCTAAATGTCAGATTTTCATAAGCATTGCATTCTCTTTGAAAAAGTATCACATGCTCACAGCTGGAATACTTTAGAGCCTGTTCTTTTGTGTTTGTTTGTTTGTTTGTTTTGTTTTGTTGTTGTTTGGTTTTTTTTGTTTTGTTGGTGTTTTGTCTTTTTTTTTTTAATGAAAAAGATCAATCCAGATTCCCATATGCTCCTTGCTCCTTTCTTCTGGAGTGACAGTGGAGGGAAGGAGCACTCCAAACAGCAATTCTGAAGGAAAACTCAGTTTCACTGTAATTAAAGAGTTTGTCCCGGTGGCCTTTGTCTGAGGAGGTCAGCTGAAAAGCAAAGAAACCCTCAGTGAAGCCAGTGGGACCTTGGATCAGTCACAACCTGACAAAAAACAGGTTCGTCTGTACCTGAGAACTTTGTGTCAGGAGCCTGCTGACAACTCAAATACATACCAAGAAGATCGTGCTGTTCGTAGAATATCTTGCTGAATTCACAGGGGTAGGAAATTTTAGTGGGCTGAAGCAAAAAGGAGCCATGCTTGTGATTCCAAAAGATCCAGGAGTTCCTCTGCAATGGTCCCCTAAATGAGATACAATGATCTGAATGAGAAAGACTGCGAGGACCTTCTATCTGACCAGCTGAAGGAGTAATTCTTCTCCAAGGACTACTTCCTTGTCACGTCCAATATAAAGACATTAATGGTCAGACCTTGGAGAAGCTGAAACAACTCACACAGACTGCAGAGTTGAATTATTCCTTCCTGAAAAGGTGGTGTCTTCATCAGGCATATGACCCACTGAAATCTAGCAGACTTTGTGTTGCTTTCCCTGCTCCATATTAACCTGGCAATCTCGTATCTAAGGTAAGAGTAACCATGCTGGCTCTAACTATATAACAGCAGCTTATTGCAAAGATTAGCAGTATGCTCCATGCAGTTTATGGCAAGTTTGTTCTATGCAAAAAGAACAACATCTATCCATCCATGTATGTATGTATGTATGTATGTAACTGTCTATAGATTAATTACTAAGTGTGGACAAAGCCCCTCATGGGGAATTAACAGTGGAATAGATAGGAAGGAGAGAGGTGAAAGGGGAAAGTTAGCTGTGATTTTTTGTTACCCATTTGAAACGCAGTCCCTAGGCAGCTTTAGCCTGAGCTGTAATGCAGAGGCTGTCTGGAGGGGCAGGATGACAATATGATTCCTTGCAGGCTGCACACTTCTGTTCAAAGCTGTGACGTGAGCATCCCACATGCCTAGCAGAGTCATGGTGCTGGAGACATATGGAGGTGTCCATCTTCCAGGTGTTTGGACCAGAAATTACTGTGTGTGGGGCTCTGGTGCAGCCCTTTCAAAGAGTACTCATTACCTTCCCCCTCCTTTCCACGCTCCTCTTTTATTACAGTGTTCTAATCTCAGACCCCCAAATTAAAACAGTATTTTCAGCTTGGTTCTGAAGCCTCAGATTGCAGATATTAATTACCAGGACGTGTTCTAAGGGAAACAAGGATTTGGCAGGACAACTGAAGTCCTCTTTTTCTCTCTCATTTCCCGCTCTGTACAGCATGCTGGCTTGCTTCTTGGTTCCCCTTTGGGAGGCCATAAATCTGAGTTTTGCTATCGAGGCTGGGCACCTGGTGAGGCTGCCCTGTGCTCTTGGTATCCTCCCCTTCACCCTGTCCCGATGTCACACTGGTAATGATACGGTTTGGAGGGCAGGAAAAACCCCATCGGACTCCTAGAAGGAGGAAAACAAGGTCGACGAGACCTTTCCCTTTGCGTGACAGCTGGCGGGATTAACCACAGCACCGGGCAGGGATGAGTTTGCTCGCTTCACTCCGAGGGGCTGTCCAGCTACAGGTTCCTGCTTGCGGGGGGAAGCAACCCTTTAATCTCAGAGTTTGGCTCCCGCAGCCGTCGCCCAGCTCCGCTCCTCGCTCCCACCACCTCAGTGCCCGGCTGGCGGGCGCCCGCTGCCCCCACAGGCTTCAGCAGCACCGTCGCTGCACGGGACACCCCTGGGGGAGGTGGAAAAACTAAAATGAAAGGAGAGAAGGGGGGAAGAGGCGCTGTCCCAGGCTCCTTCCAGGCGCTGGGCAGGCAGACGGCTCCGGCGGGCTGGCGGAGAGGGAAAGGAGCTGTGCCCCAGCCGGCAGCGCGGGCAGCGGGACGGGCAGGGCGCGCAGAGAAGGCAGCACAGACAGGGCAGGCAAGAAGGCAGGCAGGGCGGGCAGGGCGGGCAGGGCGGGCAGGGCGGGCAGGGCGGCAGCGCAGGCACGCAAGGCAGCGCAAGGCAGCGCAGACAGCGCAGGCAGCACGCGCCGCCCGGGAGGGCTCTGATTCATCACCCCGTTCAGAGGAGAGGATGGGACGCCTCTAAACTCCCCTTTCTCCCTCCTCCCTTCCACCCTCGCCAAGCAAGCCCCCCCCTCCCCTCCCCCCCCCCCCCCCCCGCTCCCTCCCTCCACCGCTCTTTCTCTCTCCCCAAGCAGTGAGGCTCGGACAGTGCTCGGCTCCAGCGCTTTATTTTAAGATGATCGGCCAAGGTCTTTGCAGATAGATTTTATCTGAAGTTAAATAGCAGGCGCTCGCCGCTCCCTCGCCAATAAGTCATTTTTAATAGAGACAAATCGCCCTGGACGCCCCGGAGCGCCGGTGCCGCCGCTCCTGCCCGCGCCCCCCGCCGAAGGCGAGCGGGCAGCCCGGGCAGCTCCCTCCTCCCGTAAGTGTCCTGCTCGGCGGAGCCGGAGCGCGGCCGTGTGCGGAGAAGGGGAGGCGAGGGGGGGGAGAGCCTGCCAGCCGCCCCGCCGCCCCGACAGTGCCTGCGCCGGATGCCCAGCGGCCGCGGGACACCTCGGTGCGGAGCGCGGCGAGGAGATGCGCAGGGTCGGCGGGCTGCACCGCGGCGCTCAGCCCCTCTAGGCTCGCCCATGGAGCGCCCCGCGGAGCCCCGGCCGCCGTCGGACCCCCCACGCCGTACGTATCCCCGCCGCGGCCCCCCCGCGGCGGCGGGGCTGTCCGCGGGGCGCGGGGGCGGAGGAGGGCTGGGGGCCGGGGATGGGGGTCCGCGCCCGTCGGGGCGCCCCCGGGGCGCGGTCCCGGCCCGGAGCAAGGCACGGGGAGCCTTAGGAGCGGCGGAGGGAGGTGGGCGCCTGTGGGGGTAAGGCAGAGCCTGCTCGGGCGTCCCGGAGCCTCGGCTTGAAGCGCCCAGGAGCATCCGATCGCGGCGTCTCCTCCTGACCCTTCTCTCCGCGCCAGCGCCGCTCCGCTCCCCAGCGCGCTGCCGGGGCTCCGCGGCCACCGACTGCCGGGCGGCTGCCGCCCGGTCCCCGCCGAGGTCGCGCAGGCAGGCGGGCGGGCAGGGCGGGCAGGGCAGGGCTGGCGGTGGCACCCCGGGCCGTCCCAGCCCACACCACGGGGCTCTCACGCCCAGTAAAAGGACTGAACGCCGGGGAGCGCTGCCTACAGGCGCTCTGCAGCCAGCCCGGACCGTGCGATCACTTTGCTCTGACGCTGGATTAACTCGATTTTAATCGTTTTTTTTTTTTTTTTGTTTCCCCACCCCCATCCACACACCCCATCTCCTCCTTCTCTCCCCCCCCCCCCCCTTCCCTACACACCTCTTCCCCCCTTGTCTCAAGCCTAACCTTGTCTTGTGGTCATGGGGTCTATAATTTCATTTTTGTCTAGGCTGGTGAGAGCTCTGCTGGTTCTGTAAAGTGGATGTCAGGTGGATCTATGTTCTGGAAGGAACAAAGAGGCAGCGAAGGCAGCGCGGGGGAAGTTTGAGCGGCGAGGATGCAGGCTGTGTACTGGTACGCGGTCCTTCTGCTGCAGCCCACCCTTTACCTGGTGAGTGCCCCCGACCCCTCGCACGGCTCGGGAGGGGGGAGCTCGGCGGGGAGGAGGGCACCAGCCTGGCGGAGAATGAACAAACTCACGGCAACTACCGGCGCCCCGCAGCCAGCCCTGCCCCGTCCTCCCGGGGTCGGGCCGGGGTCGGGCCGGGGAGACGCGGGGTTCGGCCGGGAGCTCTCGGCGGGGCGCGGCGCGGGCGGGGTGGGGTGGGGGTGCAGGAGGACACCCGTAACTTCTCCGCGGGGAAGGGGCGCGCCACCGGGAGAGGGGAAGGTCGGGGGCTCCCGGGCCGGGTCCCCCGGTGCCACCTCCCGGGCCGGGTCCCCCGGTACCTGCGGGGCCACCGGCGCGCCGCCGCCCAGGCTGTGGGATAGAGGCAACTTCTTGCCTTCTTGCTCCCTCCTGAGGGTGGGAGCCCCTCCTGAAGGGACACCCCCCTCCACTGTGCCACTACGGGCGGCGCAGCACAGGCGTGCAGGCACTCGGTGACGAGCACAGCTGGTATTTTCCGGGTGAAGTGTCATTGACTTTCGTTGCAAATCTCCTTTAAGATTACCGGAGGAACACGAGTAAACAGCGGCGTTATCTCCTTTAACACACACACACACTTTATTCCCTCTACAACCGCAAAGAACAAAAACAAGGCAAGGCTGCTCCTTTGCAGCCCGTACCCTCGGTCGCCTGCGACGCGTTAAGCAGGCAAACGCCTGGCGGGAGCTCGACCCCGTGGCGGCGGGGGAGGGAAAAGCCTTTTTTCCAGGAGGGCGGCCTAGAGGAGCCCGGCACGGGGGGAAACGACGGCCCGGTTGCGGCTCCGGCTCCGGCTCCGGCTCCGGCTCCGGCTCCGGCTCCGCTCCGCTCCGGCTCCGGCTCCGGCTCCGCGGGCGCCGCCGCTCCCTGCGCTGTGGCGGCCGTGCCGCCTGGGGGCGCTGCGGGGCAGCGCGGCGGAGCGCGGGGCAGCCAATCCCGAGCGGGCCCGGCCGGGGGGGGTGAGCGGAGGGGGGGGCGGCGGGGGGGGGCCGACCGGGCGGCGCGCTCCTCCCGCGGCCGCTCAGCTCCCAGCGCACCCGCGCAGCGCCGGGGTGGGGGGTCCCGCCCGGCCCGGCCGACGGGGCTCCCGGCTGGGGGCCCCTGCCCTCGCCGGGCGGTGCCACGTCTGCGGCGGGCGTCTCTTCTCCCCGCGAGTTTTATAGCCGGAGGTGGGGAGGGTGGGTGGGATGGGGGGGGGGAGCGGGGAGAAAAAGTGCGTGGCAAATAATCTATCAAAAAGCCGGAGCGGGATCGATACGTCGTGTTAAATTTTAAATGTGTTTGCTGGCAGTTAAACTGCTCTCGACTCATTACAACAACAGTGCTGGATTTATTCTAATGCGCTGCAGTCTGAACAACAAGCGCATTAATTCTCCTTTAATTGTAAACTGGGAGCATTTGAAAACCATTCAGTGTGCAAATTATGCTGATTCAATTACCGTTTAGTTACAGACTTCATTACCTGAATGCTTGCGCTTTTTTTTTTTTTTTTTTTTTTTTATTCCGAAGGCTTGTCATTGCAGAGTAAATTCCAGTCATCCTCGAAACAATGCGAAATATGATACGAAAAAAAAAAAAAAAAAGAATCGGGAATAAAAGACAAGCTAGGGGAGGGGACGCCCTCTTCGGCTGGGCTGTGCGTTCTGCCAAAACACTCGGGGGCGATCCAAAGGATTTCCCTGTCTAACCCGATTCTTCTTTCAGAGTCGATACTTCCACGTTTATGCCAATCTTTCCCTATTCTCTGTATTTCGAGAGTGACTCTGAAAGTTTTTATTAGGCCACTGCCTGGCAATAAACTGTTTATTAGCATCGAAGAATGAAATTTTGATTAAAGCGGTGCCACAAACCAGCAAGGTGCAGCACTTCGCTGTGCCCACCCGTGTCTACGCCTCGCTCTGGGTGGATGAGAAGCAGTTTCAATTTGGAATTAGATTTTGAGTACCCAACCTGTGAGGAAGGGTAAATGAAATGGGGGCAAACCCAGCTTCCTATCGAGTTTGTTAAAAAATTCTTTTACTTTGAGAGGGGTTAATAATACAGGGGAGAGGGAAAATAGCATGTTTCCCCTCCTCCTGAACCAGGCGGTGTTGAGTGATAGTGGAAGAGCCGCAGCGAAGCTGCCTCGAAGTTCCTCATTTACAGACAGTCGCTGGCTTGTAATTTCTCTTCACCCAGCAAACCACTGCTCTTTTCTTTTTTTTTTTTTTTTTTTTTTTTTTCTTCTTCCCACCTTTAATGAAATCTTCCTAATGAAATCTTCGGAAAAAAAAAAAAAAAGTGCTTCTGCTTTTCTCCCCCTTTTTAATAGAGCCATGTGCCATCCAGCCTTATTGCCTGAAATTTATAGAGGTCACGGCCGACCAGAACGAGTAGGAATTTTGCTGGGTAGAGATGGTTTATTGATAAGAACATTAGTTAGCCTCGGTGAGACACGCATTTTCTCCTTGTTTCGAGCTGTGCAGTGTTTTGAAAACGTTATATTTGATTTGCGGTGGAACTGCATTTCCTTTGGCCTAAACGGATAACTTAGTATTTACTTGGTAGAATTAGGAGTTAATCTTTAAAGGCTTGCAGTTATTTTCTTTCTTTACATTAGAGAGCTGCCGAAAGTGTTCAAACAGCTACACTCGGTCTTATTTACCACGAGACTCCACTTCACCGCTGTTCTTTCAAAAGCACCTTAGTCCTATTCTAATGGATAATGTTTTCTTAACTAACAGCACTGTGCAGAGCTCAAAATCGCCATTAAGGAAACACGTAAATATTAAGAAAGAAAACAACTCGGAGATCGTAGATTCTTTCAGGTTTGAGCTCTGTCTTTTTATAAGGACACCAGGTTTTTACACCATTCCCTTAATGGAAACTTTCTCGTTTAATTCCTGCCTAGTTACCGGTGAATTTCCAGTCTTATACCACAGGACAATAAAACGCCAGGCTGTTTCTTTTCATATATATGTATATATATATATATATATTTTTTTTTTTTTTTCCCTGGGTGGGAGCAGCATGGTGTACAAGCGACTACAAAACGCGCGGGCTGCTGGCAGAGCCGGCAAAGATCCTAACTGGTTATTTCTCACCGGGACAGGTCCAGGATGGTCCCAAAGGAGGAGGCAGATCCTTTCCGTGCCGGCTGCTGAGGGCACGCGTGGGGCGGGAGGGGACCGGCGGGCTCCCGGCGGCGGCGGGCGCTCGCCCCGTCCTGCCGCTCCCCGCCCGGACCCCGCTCACCCCTCGGGCAAGCCCAGGGCGCCGGGCGGCACAATGCCTTCCAGATTGCAGGATTTTAACACCCCCCCCTCCCCTCCATCCCCCTCCCTCCGTGTTCACAGGCTTTGCCTTTGCATGTTCCAGGGGGAACTTCCCTCCGGGCACAAGCAAGGAATGAGAACATGCCCCTCTTCCGCTGGGATCGCCCGGTTTGGAGAGACTTCAGCTCACTACTTAGGTACTTCTTTCCCGGAGTAGCGGGTACGGACTTAAAACCAGTCGCAGTTTTGCGTTGCATGCTGCTAGGGTAAGGAGCCCTCCTCCGTCAGCCCCTTCCCTTCCCTCCCTCCCCTCCCCCCCGCCCCGGCTTGTCGTCCTTTCCCAGCAAAGTGTTTCTTCACCGGTGGCTTTGTAAATTAGGATATACAGCAGCTGACTGGCAGAGCCAGTTTTAACTCCGTGCAGAATTCAAGCAGCGCAAGAGCAAATGGAGGGGGGGTGATTTTTCACCCCCCGACGAGGGATGCGAGCAGGGTGTTTCGCGGGGGGAGCTTTGTCTGGCGAGTGTCCACAACTGCGGGGGTCCCGGTGCCCCTGTTTTACAGGGCGATGGCATTTGGCAGAGAGTCGTGGAAACAGCCTGCTAACCTCCTCCCCGTGCTGACCGGGGATTTTAAGGTCTGTTCCACACCGTCACGGCAGTTTGGAGGCCTTCTGACAGCTGAGCGGAGCTTTCCTGAAAAAATGTTTTGAATAATAGAGGTTTAAAATTGTCCTCAGCGGTACCAAGTGGTACGGTATTTGCTGAGGGAGTAAACAGCGGGTTAGTGGCTCCAGAGTTTGTGTACATTTAATTTCTCTCTGTGTCGCACTGTTTGCGGTCATTTCACCCCGGTTAATGAAAGCTATGGAGAACGTGAAGAGATATGACGTGCCGGCGAAGATAAGTTGATTTTTTTTTCATTCTTTCTTTTTTTTCTAAAGATAGTTGCTGATGTGTCCTACTTTGTCGTGGGAGGAAAAAACAAAACAAAACAAAACAAACCAAACAAAACCAAACCCCAAACCTCTAGAGGCAGCGAAGATAAAAGAAACAAAAAACAAAAGAGACAGAAGGCATTGTCCTGTCATAATCACCACCCACCGTATTTCCTCCGAGGCATTTGGTGCTGAAAGCATTCGGGTATTGCTTTCCCCCCCCCAAATAAGCGATTTCTTGCAATTTTCAATTTGACGTCGAAGGCGGCGAGGGGGGGGGGGGAGCGCTTGACGCGGAGGGAGAGAAGTGGCTTTTTGTGTGAGAGAGTTTACGTAGCCTTGAGACGACCCCGCTCCCTCTTTCTAAAGGAGTTTGAGAGACGCTTTCGCGGTGGTGTAGGGGCAGTAATTCCCTTTCGGAAGGTAAGGCACGGGAAGAGCAACCGAACTTGCATCTGGTGTAGCGAAACAAACTTATCTGCGCTCTAGGCGTTTTTTTTTTTTTGGTGTTTTTTTTTTTTTTTTTTTTTTTTTTTGTTTAGCGGAGGATGGTGCATTCTTTTCCGGGCTTCCTTCTTCCTTCCTTCCTAACCACCAGGGACCTGTTTTAGGAGTTTAAGAAGGGGTTTCCTCGCACTGAAATATCTTTTCCCCGGTGCTTAATACACACTATTTTAATTTCTTAAATCGCTGGAGAAAGCACTCTGGAACAGATTTCACCTTTTAGGGATGCACCTGAATATAATCCAATATCCCCGCCTCTCTTTGACTAG